ACTAACTTTGGAGGTCACATGCCATTATTTCTGCAATGTTTTATTGGTTGCACAGGTCATCCTTATTCACTGGGGAGAGGGAACTACGTTAGGGCATGGACACCAAGAGGCATAACTCATTGGAGCCCTCTTGGAAGGTGGAATGGAATTTTGCAAAAAAAAAATTTACTCTAGGACAAAAATCACAGCCTCATGGACTCTGTTGAGAATCGATACTTTAGAACTTCACTGTGAGATTGCATTTTTGTCTCTGAAGTCCCACAGAATAAAATTGGTTTCAGGAAATACATGCACAAATTCCCTTTGCCATATCTAGTACAAAAGTGATAGAGCCATAGACTCTTCTCAGAATTAGGGAGAAAACAGTTGATCATCTGATGCAGTTTTCCTTATCTTGTATAGTTTATTAGGAGCATAACTGATTTTGTAGAGAGACTTGGTCAGTGGTGCTCTCATTGGCTTTTGAGCATAAACCCTCACTGGCATTCGAGTTCTTTTGACATGTATATATGTGTTAGTTATCTATTGCTACATATCAAGATAGCCCAAAATTTAGCAGCTTAAAATAAGAGCAAACATAATTTCACACAGTTTCTGTGGGTCAGGAATTCAGAAGCAGCCCAGCTGGATGGTTCTAGTTCAGGGTCTCTCCTGAGTTTGTAGTCAAAATGTCAGCCAGGGATGCTGACATCTTAAGGCTTGCCTGGGACTGTAAGATCTACCTCCAGGATGGTTCATTCATGTGGCTAGCTAATCTGTGCTGGCTGTATGCAAGAAGCCTCAGTCCCTCATTGTGTACCTCTCCATGGTGCTACTTTAGTGTCTCATATTGTGTCAGATAGCTTCCTCTAAACTAAGTGATCCGAGAACGAAGACCAAGTGGAAGCCACCAAGTCTTCCCTACTAACTTTGGAGGTCACATGCCATTATTTCTGCAATGTTTTATTGGTTGCACAGGTCATCCTTATTCACTGGGGAGAGGGAACTACGTTAGGGCATGGACACCAAGAGGGATAACTCATTGGAGCCCTCTTGGAAGGTGGCTACCACAAAATATAAGAATGATATTATACCCTCTTTCCCCACAGCTGATTATTCTCTTTATTCCCCTTCAGGTGCACCTTGGGTTGGCGGGTGGGTTGGTTGGTTGGTTGGTTGGTTGGTTGGTTGGTTGGTTGGTTGGTTGGTTCTGAAGCAGCACCAGAAAGGCAGTAATGGGGATTGGTTTCCAGGAAGCTTAGAAGTCAGTAAAATATCAGCTCTATATTTGTTTTCAAAATACTTGTATTTCTGTATACCCCATACACACTGTTTGAAAATTAAAAATAAAATAACTATACTTTCTTAATTCTTATCAAAAATTCACTGATCCATTTTAATGGTAGTAACCCCTTTAGATAATAGAAATAGGCTTCTAGAAATCACAGTAGACAATGTAGAAATTAAGTCTGAATGAAAATCCCCTATGCTCTTTTCTTTCTTTGCTAGGGAATTTTTCTGCTATCCCCTACTGCATCAATGTCATCATTCTCTTCCTTTGCTCCCCCAACGCTCAGCTCTCCCACTTGTTAGCTCTACATTGGGCACATTACTTAATCTCTTATTAGTACCTCCATTTTTCCATTTGCAAAATGGGGGAAATAATTGTACCTATTTCTTGGGGTTTCTGGTGGACTAAAGGACGTGTGATGTACTTTGTTAGTATGATGTCTGGCACCTTGGTAGGCACTAAGGTTTGCTAGTAAGATTTATTATGGTGGTGATGGTGGTTATTGTAGTCACACTAAATTATAAATTTATGTATTTTTAGATGTCTCTATTACCTTTCTAGTTATTGAACAATTACTATAAGCCAGGTACTATGCACAAACACTTCGTAGGAAGGTGATTTAGCACCATTTTACAGATAAGGTAATTGAGGGGTAGAAAGGTTGAATAACTTGTTTCACATCACACAGCTATTGAGTTGTACAACTAGGTCTCATACTTCCTATTTGTGGAATTGGATAGATCTAAGAAAGATATGGCAATGTAAATTTCAGAAGAGCAGGTCAAGACTAAAAATAAAGACTGAACAGCCTTTGGTTGCTCATAGTTGGATTGGATGCTTTATAATCAGAAGATCTTAGCTATATCCTTTAAATCATAATGCCAGGTATCACCAGTTTACCAGTACAAATGTGAAGGGAAGGGAATGAGGGAGCAGCAAATGAGCTTTGCTGCTTTTAAAGAGTACTGTTTAAGTATTTGGAAATTAAAGTTACAGAAATTACAGCAAGCATCCAAGTACAGTGACAATCCATCATGATTTAAAATTAGTGAACATTTGTATTGTAGAAAGCCCATATTAATTCACTTGTGTAAAATAAGTCACAGAATTGGCAATGGAAGCACAATGAGCCAGGACCAACAAGACTTTGATCAGGCAATAAGTCAGCTGGTTTGTTGAGCTACTATTGAGCTTTTGTTTTGCTTTTCTCCCTCTGAAAAACAGAGAACTCTAATCTTTTTTGCTCGGCAAGGACATGTAAAATTTGATTTTAAGTAGATTTCATTGCACTACACAAAGGTTTTTTTGTGTTTTGCTTTTTCTTGGATGAATGAATATAGTACTTTGACTTTAGATATCAAGGATATTTGTAATCAAAATAATAAGCCGTTAAAATTCCACTCACAAGTGATTTGGAAATAATTCAGAGAAAAAAATGAGGGATCATTACATTTCAATCCTGAAGAGCATGAGTGTCTTTTCAAATTTTATTGTTCAGAAGGTGAATCATTTCTAGTTACATGCTCATATAAAAGGCTTGTACTTTTTGGTATGATCATACAAGCAACCTTTGAATTTATCCAGGCAAGGAGAGACTAGTTTTGGGAATGTCCTAAGCTCACAGGTAGTAGCCAGTGAAACAACATCTGTAGATGAGTGTCTGAGTAGGATTTTGCCAAAGAGCAAATGAACATAATGAGCTGGATTGCCATGTATATGAGCATTGGTGGATGTCAGCTGATGGAGCTAATGGCTTCCAGGGCCAGAGCTGCTAACAGTGCTGGTATATGTGCTGATGTTATGGTCGAGCAGATCAGTCCCAGGAAAGACCAGAATGTGACAGTTTTACCTGTCATTTTGACATGCTGAAAATGAGAGACAAGAGCTATTTGATGATGATCATGCATAGGTTTTGACTATCCTTCAAAGCACAGAAAATGCTGCAATAAGCTTGGTTTTGTGAGGAACATTACAATTCTGAAATAGTTCTGAGGCCTTTTGGGTTTCTCTGGACTGGGTTTTAATGCAGCCTGTGCCTAGATTACAAAAGTGAGTCTTTTTCCTGAGAGAGGCTTACAGGAACATGTGGCCTGGACAGGAACTGGTGTTATTATTGATGCACAGAACATGGGTGATCATTGAGAGTAAAACATATCCAAGAAAGACCAGCAGTCATGGCAAAGCATGAGACATACAAATTCCCTGATTATTGGAAAGGGCTGTTTACCTGCTTTTAGAGTAGGCTCTATATCTGATACTCTCTCCTGCCACTTATGCATGTGTCATAGCAATGAGGTAATGTGACTCTATGCCATGGGTAGTATGAACCCAGTGCATGGACCGTGAAGCCATGTCTGCACTTATTTGCATGAAAATGGGATTAGAAACAGCCATAGATGTTTTGAAGAAAATAAATGAATTAAGCATTCAAATTAAGATTTTTTTTCCACAAAGGCTGTTAAATTTACATAAGAGCAGATTGATTTGAGACCATGAATCAGGAATTTAGAAAAGAGGTGTAGTTTTTATAAAGTGGCCATTGAAATGAACTAAACAGCTGATCCGTAAGAGTTCCTTATGTGTCCTTGGAGTCTTTGGTTTTTTGGCTGTAATTTAAAAATTCCAACTAGAAAGATCCAAAAACCAAACTTTGCACTCAGCCATGACATTGTTTACTCACAGAATATACGAGAACTACAGTCTCTGAAGAGACAAAACTTCTGGGTCTCGCTTGTTGGTGTCACCAGCCCTGGTGGCCAAGGGCAGTGTGACTTCTAGGGAGTTGGTTCTTGGAAGTTGGTTCTAGGGAGTTGGTTCTTGACCATCCCAGTCAAGCCACCTCTCTTCTTGCTCAGGACTTAGCCTAAGTGTTGGGGAGAAAAATTGCCTGGCAGCATATTCCAAGCCCTGTGATGACAAGGATGCAGTTGACCAGCACTGAGACAGTAGGTTGCCTGCCCACAGTGGAGAGCCCATCTGGACGCAGTTAGACACCCATGTAAACGTTAACAGATGCTGTGAAATAATAGCAGGCTTCAGAAAGTAGGGATTGAGGTTAACATCACTTACAAATTTATGCATATTCCCAGAAGATTAGGCAAAGTGAACTTAGTGCCAAGGTATTTGACTCAATATGCTTATTGAATTGAGTAAGCATATTGGTACTGCAGTGGCTATTTCTTTTTTGCTGATTGTCTATTTTCCATTTCTTTGAATAAAGAAGAGGGACTGTCCTTAAAACAAGCAGCTGAGTTTGATTTATGCATATCTGTCTGTCAACACTGACCCATATTACTTTCACTACCTCCACCCATTTTACCCACTTAAGCAGATGTCATATTGTGACATGGTTCAGAATTTTTAGCAAGTTTTTCCAGCTGTGAACTGTTCATTTATTTGCGAGTGCTCTAGACTCCAACCTCTGCCTGAGTACTCATGCACTGCTAATCCCAGCTGTTAGCAATATCTTTGACAGAATGATCCCTGGCTTCTTGAGTCTGTAATTCATTCAAAGACACTATCTTCCTTGCACTAGAACAAGGCCAAAGCATGGACTTAGCTCTAAGCAGAAAGAAATTCAGATTTCATAGTGTTGGCCATGTTTAAAACAACATTCTAGATAACAGCCTGGGAGACCACACAGTCCACATCTGTAGTTGAGGCACTATTCTTTTCTCTTTAGGATGTTAGAGCATTGCTCATGCTATCTCTTGGGACTTTTGATTTGCAGATGCTAATGCTGGAGACCGTGGGCAGACCAATAACGCCGCTTCTGCATCAGCTTCCAACTCTACCTGAACAGTCCCAAGCAGTCAGCTGCACAGGAAAACCACCAGTTACTTGGGTGTCACTCAGCAACACTGGTCACGTTTGGAAAGAAAATTAAAAAGAGAAAAAAAAACCTGTTCATTTTAGTGTTCAATTTTTTTATTATTATTGTTCTTATTTAACCTTGTAAAATATCTATAAATACAAACCAATTTCATTGTATTCTCACTTTGAGGGAGACCCGGGGGTGGGAAGGGTTGTGGGGAGGGCTAACACGGAGCACTAGAACACACAGTCTCTCTCCCACGACAATCTTTTTGTATCAGAAATCTGCTGTTGTGTATACTTTAAAAACAGGACTCCTGCCTCATGCCCCTTCCACAAAAGAAGATGACTTTGTTCTGAGCTGAAGTTTTTTTTAACTTTCTTTTCTTTTAAAGTCAAGTGTAAGACTTTGGGTGCACAGCATGAAATTGGTTGGGAGCTTAGCAGGTGTAATTCAGTGGGGACTTAAAGGTCACTTGTAAAATTAATCCATATCCTCGGGTGTTTGAAGACTTGCCTTTGGCATGGTAGCAGGTGTGGCAGACCAGAAGGAAATGTGTAGCATTTGTAACCCAGGGAGATCAATAAAGTTTGAAACCATAAGGGGAAGCTTCTCCATTGATAAAATTTTGTTGTGCTCTTAATCAGTGCTAGTGGTGAAGAAACATATGTAGGGGCTGGCAAGAGAGGGACATGTGTGCTCTGCAGATGGATCTGTTTACTGACCAAAAGTTCTCTGCAAATCTCAGTACAGTTTTAAGCTAGTGACCTAGGAGAAGACTAAAAAGGGTTGTAAGGCAGCCACTCTGGCTGCAGAAGTCAAAAGCTGAGGAACCTGGAGGAAGGGGCAGGTCGAGGCAGATCTCAGTGCTGTGAATGGAATTACCATTTATTTTCTGAAGTTGCTTCCCTTGGAAATACACTCGAAAGGACAATACAGTTAAATAATGTGAACTGTAATAGTCTACTGATTTCTTTTTCATATTTTTTAAGTACAAATTGGGCTTGCAGAAATTGCCACATTCTGCCTGTAGTTCTAGTTTTAAATCCAAATCTAGAATCTGTATTTCAGCTTTTTTTAACCTCATGCTTTAAAAATTTTATTTATTAATGTAAGATAGGTCATTATGATTTTAGATGGAACATCAAAAACACATCAAAATGATATGAACAGTCACTACTTGCACCTGCTGACTTTACAGGAAAGCTGATTAAATGCGTGTGTGTGTGTGTGTGTGTGTGATTGCTCCCCCAACGCTCAGCTCTCCCACTTGTTAGCTCTACATTGGGCACATTACTTAATCTCTTATTAGTACCTCCATTTTTCCATTTGCAAAATGGGGGAAATAATTGTACCTATTTCTTGGGGTTTCTGGTGGACTAAAGGACGTGTGATGTACTTTGTTAGTATGATGTCTGGCACCTTGGTAGGCACTAAGGTTTGCTAGTAAGATTTATTATGGTGGTGATGGTGGTTATTGTAGTCACACTAAATTATAAATTTATGTATTCTTAGATGTCTCTATTACCTTTCTAGTTATTGAACAATTACTATAAGCCAGGTACTATGCACAAACACTTCGTAGGAAGGTGATTTAGCACCATTTTACAGATAAGGTAATTGAGGGGTAGAAAGGTTGAATAACTTGTTTCACATCACACAGCTATTGAGTTGTACAACTAGGTCTCATACTTCCTATTTGTGGAATTGGATAGATCTAAGAAAGATATGGCAATGTAAATTTCAGAAGAGCAGGTCAAGACTAAAAATAAAGACTGAACAGCCTTTGGTTGCTCATAGTTGGATTGGATGCTTTATAATCAGAAGATCTTAGCTATATCCTTTAAATCATAATGCCAGGTATCACCAGTTTACCAGTACAAATGTGAAGGGAAGGGAATGAGGGAGCAGCAAATGAGCTTTGCTGCTTTTAAAGAGTACTGTTTAAGTATTTGGAAATTAAAGTTACAGAAATTACAGCAAGCATCCAAGTACAGTGACAATCCATCATGATTTAAAATTAGTGAACATTTGTATTGTAGAAAGCCCATATTAATTCACTTGTGTAAAATAAGTCACAGAATTGGCAATGGAAGCACAATGAGCCAGGACCAACAAGACTTTGATCAGGCAATAAGTCAGCTGGTTTGTTGAGCTACTATTGAGCTTTTGTTTTGCTTTTCTCCCTCTGAAAAACAGAGAACTCTAATCTTTTTTGCTCGGCAAGGACATGTAAAATTTGATTTTAAGTAGATTTCATTGCACTACACAAAGGTTTTTTTGTGTTTTGCTTTTTCTTGGATGAATGAATATAGTACTTTGACTTTAGATATCAAGGATATTTGTAATCAAAATAATAAGCCGTTAAAATTCCACTCACAAGTGATTTGGAAATAATTCAGAGAAAAAAATGAGGGATCATTACATTTCAATCCTGAAGAGCATGAGTGTCTTTTCAAATTTTATTGTTCAGAAGGTGAATCATTTCTAGTTACATGCTCATATAAAAGGCTTGTACTTTTTGGTATGATCATACAAGCAACCTTTGAATTTATCCAGGCAAGGAGAGACTAGTTTTGGGAATGTCCTAAGCTCACAGGTAGTAGCCAGTGAAACAACATCTGTAGATGAGTGTCTGAGTAGGATTTTGCCAAAGAGCAAATGAACATAATGAGCTGGATTGCCATGTATATGAGCATTGGTGGATGTCAGCTGATGGAGCTAATGGCTTCCAGGGCCAGAGCTGCTAACAGTGCTGGTATATGTGCTGATGTTATGGTCGAGCAGATCAGTCCCAGGAAAGACCAGAATGTGACAGTTTTACCTGTCATTTTGACATGCTGAAAATGAGAGACAAGAGCTATTTGATGATGATCATGCATAGGTTTTGACTATCCTTCAAAGCACAGAAAATGCTGCAATAAGCTTGGTTTTGTGAGGAACATTACAATTCTGAAATAGTTCTGAGGCCTTTTGGGTTTCTCTGGACTGGGTTTTAATGCAGCCTGTGCCTAGATTACAAAAGTGAGTCTTTTTCCTGAGAGAGGCTTACAGGAACATGTGGCCTGGACAGGAACTGGTGTTATTATTGATGCACAGAACATGGGTGATCATTGAGAGTAAAACATATCCAAGAAAGACCAGCAGTCATGGCAAAGCATGAGACATACAAATTCCCTGATTATTGGAAAGGGCTGTTTACCTGCTTTTAGAGTAGGCTCTATATCTGATACTCTCTCCTGCCACTTATGCATGTGTCATAGCAATGAGGTAATGTGACTCTATGCCATGGGTAGTATGAACCCAGTGCATGGACCGTGAAGCCATGTCTGCACTTATTTGCATGAAAATGGGATTAGAAACAGCCATAGATGTTTTGAAGAAAATAAATGAATTAAGCATTCAAATTAAGATTTTTTTTCCACAAAGGCTGTTAAATTTACATAAGAGCAGATTGATTTGAGACCATGAATCAGGAATTTAGAAAAGAGGTGTAGTTTTTATAAAGTGGCCATTGAAATGAACTAAACAGCTGATCCGTAAGAGTTCCTTATGTGTCCTTGGAGTCTTTGGTTTTTTGGCTGTAATTTAAAAATTCCAACTAGAAAGATCCAAAAACCAAACTTTGCACTCAGCCATGACATTGTTTACTCACAGAATATACGAGAACTACAGTCTCTGAAGAGACAAAACTTCTGGGTCTCGCTTGTTGGTGTCACCAGCCCTGGTGGCCAAGGGCAGTGTGACTTCTAGGGAGTTGGTTCTTGGAAGTTGGTTCTAGGGAGTTGGTTCTTGACCATCCCAGTCAAGCCACCTCTCTTCTTGCTCAGGACTTAGCCTAAGTGTTGGGGAGAAAAATTGCCTGGCAGCATATTCCAAGCCCTGTGATGACAAGGATGCAGTTGACCAGCACTGAGACAGTAGGTTGCCTGCCCACAGTGGAGAGCCCATCTGGACGCAGTTAGACACCCATGTAAACGTTAACAGATGCTGTGAAATAATAGCAGGCTTCAGAAAGTAGGGATTGAGGTTAACATCACTTACAAATTTATGCATATTCCCAGAAGATTAGGCAAAGTGAACTTAGTGCCAAGGTATTTGACTCAATATGCTTATTGAATTGAGTAAGCATATTGGTACTGCAGTGGCTATTTCTTTTTTGCTGATTGTCTATTTTCCATTTCTTTGAATAAAGAAGAGGGACTGTCCTTAAAACAAGCAGCTGAGTTTGATTTATGCATATCTGTCTGTCAACACTGACCCATATTACTTTCACTACCTCCACCCATTTTACCCACTTAAGCAGATGTCATATTGTGACATGGTTCAGAATTTTTAGCAAGTTTTTCCAGCTGTGAACTGTTCATTTATTTGCGAGTGCTCTAGACTCCAACCTCTGCCTGAGTACTCATGCACTGCTAATCCCAGCTGTTAGCAATATCTTTGACAGAATGATCCCTGGCTTCTTGAGTCTGTAATTCATTCAAAGACACTATCTTCCTTGCACTAGAACAAGGCCAAAGCATGGACTTAGCTCTAAGCAGAAAGAAATTCAGATTTCATAGTGTTGGCCATGTTTAAAACAACATTCTAGATAACAGCCTGGGAGACCACACAGTCCACATCTGTAGTTGAGGCACTATTCTTTTCTCTTTAGGATGTTAGAGCATTGCTCATGCTATCTCTTGGGACTTTTGATTTGCAGATGCTAATGCTGGAGACCGTGGGCAGACCAATAACGCCGCTTCTGCATCAGCTTCCAACTCTACCTGAACAGTCCCAAGCAGTCAGCTGCACAGGAAAACCACCAGTTACTTGGGTGTCACTCAGCAACACTGGTCACGTTTGGAAAGAAAATTAAAAAGAGAAAAAAAAACCTGTTCATTTTAGTGTTCAATTTTTTTATTATTATTGTTCTTATTTAACCTTGTAAAATATCTATAAATACAAACCAATTTCATTGTATTCTCACTTTGAGGGAGACCCGGGGGTGGGAAGGGTTGTGGGGAGGGCTAACACGGAGCACTAGAACACACAGTCTCTCTCCCACGACAATCTTTTTGTATCAGAAATCTGCTGTTGTGTATACTTTAAAAACAGGACTCCTGCCTCATGCCCCTTCCACAAAAGAAGATGACTTTGTTCTGAGCTGAAGTTTTTTTTAACTTTCTTTTCTTTTAAAGTCAAGTGTAAGACTTTGGGTGCACAGCATGAAATTGGTTGGGAGCTTAGCAGGTGTAATTCAGTGGGGACTTAAAGGTCACTTGTAAAATTAATCCATATCCTCGGGTGTTTGAAGACTTGCCTTTGGCATGGTAGCAGGTGTGGCAGACCAGAAGGAAATGTGTAGCATTTGTAACCCAGGGAGATCAATAAAGTTTGAAACCATAAGGGGAAGCTTCTCCATTGATAAAATTTTGTTGTGCTCTTAATCAGTGCTAGTGGTGAAGAAACATATGTAGGGGCTGGCAAGAGAGGGACATGTGTGCTCTGCAGATGGATCTGTTTACTGACCAAAAGTTCTCTGCAAATCTCAGTACAGTTTTAAGCTAGTGACCTAGGAGAAGACTAAAAAGGGTTGTAAGGCAGCCACTCTGGCTGCAGAAGTCAAAAGCTGAGGAACCTGGAGGAAGGGGCAGGTCGAGGCAGATCTCAGTGCTGTGAATGGAATTACCATTTATTTTCTGAAGTTGCTTCCCTTGGAAATACACTCGAAAGGACAATACAGTTAAATAATGTGAACTGTAATAGTCTACTGATTTCTTTTTCATATTTTTTAAGTACAAATTGGGCTTGCAGAAATTGCCACATTCTGCCTGTAGTTCTAGTTTTAAATCCAAATCTAGAATCTGTATTTCAGCTTTTTTTAACCTCATGCTTTAAAAATTTTATTTATTAATGTAAGATAGGTCATTATGATTTTAGATGGAACATCAAAAACACATCAAAATGATATGAACAGTCACTACTTGCACCTGCTGACTTTACAGGAAAGCTGATTAAATGCGTGTGTGTGTGTGTGTGTGTGCGTGTGTGTGTATGTGTGTGTATATACACACACACACACATAGACTCAGTCCTGCCTTTTGTTTTTGTTTTTGTCCACAGTATCAAAATTGACCGGTTGAAGCACGAGAGGAATGTTCCCCCCCACACAGTCAGGAGTTTTTGTTTCTGTTTCCTTTGTGTATCAGTGAACGGCATAAGAATCCATCTCTGTTTTGATGAAAAAGCAATATTCCTTGGAAAGCAAGGAGAATTGAAGGATCATGTTTGCAATGAGGAAATAGATTGTCACAACTTGTTTGTTTTGTACTTTTAAGGTTGACATCTCTGTGGGCCTTACATACTCTGAAATGAATCTTAGTCACCTTGGTGCTTATGGGCCATTACTTGACCTATGAATCTTTAAGGCACAATCAGTTGTACTTCACATTAAAGATCACTTAAGTGATGGCCACTTTTCCCTCCTACCAGCTTCTTCCCCCATACCTTCCAAGGTCAGCTGATAACTGTGTGTCACCTCCCTCCACCCTCATGGCCATCTTCAGCCGAGGTAGGGGTCTCACCCTCCAGGTGACTAGGAAGTGGAGTCTCCTGGTGGCCCTCATGCAGGTCCCAGCACCCTGTCCTGCTTCTTAACCAAGTGCGTGTGATTGTCCAAGAGAGCCATCCTCCCTGCTGAAGTGACCCCGTACCAGAAAGGCAACTGCGAGCCATCTTGTCCTCACTGTCTGAATAAGCTCTTCAGCCACAAAAGGGGTTATCAAACCTCTGGTTCTGGAGAAAGGAGGCACACTTGGTCAAACAAAATCAAACAAATTGAATTCTCTTTTCATAATGAGTTACTGAATGCTAATTAAGATATGAAATAAATCTGAATCAAAGGGTATTTGTCAGTTCCTAAAGGGAATGGCTTTGATAGACCATTTTCAGAAAGGATTTATAAAGAATCTAAACAGCAGGTCTGTTGAAAGAGAAATAGACTTGCTCTTGGGCCAAACTGCCTAGCCAAACATTTGAACAGGGACACCACTCTGTACTTAACATACTTGCTAGGGTCCATAAAAATTTGTGCTTGTTTTAGGACACACTTCTCTGTCCCATAAATGGAAGAGAAGAAGAGGAAAGTCAGATGCGCTTTTCTCATTTGTGTGTGTGTGTGTGTGTGTGTGTGTGTGTGTGTGTGTGTGTGTGTGTGTGTGTGTGTGTGTGAAGGCTGACGTGTGTGATTTTTCTTCCTCAAGGATCATGGTGGGATCATAGAGCTCATACAAGTGAGATTCAGGTCTCTATCTTTTTGTAAATAATAATAATAATAATAAGCTCCTCACCAAATTCAAGCTTGTACATTATATTTTCTTTAAATGTTTTTAAATTTAAGTTTTATTGTTTTGTATGTAAATATGTGGACCCAGGAACTGTTATTAATGAGCAAAAAGTTACTGTTCAGGGCAGTGATTCTGTTTAATAATCAAACAAAATGTAGACGAGCTTTTTAAAGCCATATAGTTTTAACTCTGTACAGTAGGTACTGGCCTGTATTATTGTAACAATAACTCTAGCAATGTATAGTGTATCTATATAGTTTGGAGTGCCTTCGCTTCCATGTGTTTGTTCGGGTTTTGTTTGTTTTTGTTTTTCATTTTTAAAATTGTAATGGGTTTCTCTAGCCATGTCATCCTGCCTCACCCCTTTCCCTTTGAAATAATAGCCCACTCATGACAGTTTATTTCAGTGATACCATGCTCAGGAGTGGAAAGAGGAAATGATATTCTTAATCTCATTTCATTCAAGCCCTGCCTTTATTTTCCTCCTCAGTAGCGGTGACCAGTTTCATTTCATACTTAGTCCGCCTAGGGCCTTAGTATAGCTCCAGGAAGCCCTAGGGCTGGAGAATATCAAATAGAATAGATTTTGCTCATCTCTTCCCTAAGTCCTAAGCATGGGTTTTTATAAACAGCAGATTCCGGGAGCCTTCCATGCTCTCTCCTCCTTTATCTACTTCCCTCCTAAATGAGAGAGAGAGAGAGAGTTGGTTTTTATAAATCAAAGTTCCTTAATAGTACCAGGTTTTGCTACATCATGGTCTAAAATGATACCATGCGATTACTTGCAGTTACCACAGGAGCCTTGCTGACAGAGTACTGTTGTTTAACAAGGGAACTCAGCCCATTCCCTTCCTACTGCCACCTCTACCCCTGTTCAATTTCATTGTTTTTTTTTAAGTCAGTTTCTTACTGTGTGCCCATCATGAAGGCCTTTTTTGAAGGAAAAAAATTTTTTTTTGACTCCAAGTACTTCATAGAAGATGTCTTGAGTAGAAGAAAAAAACTTTACCAAACCAAAGGTTGCTATTTTTGAAACATCATGTGTTCATTCCAGCAAGGCAGAAGACTGCACCTTCTTCCCAGTGACGTGTGATTTTAAGTCCTCTTATTTTTAGACACACGTTTTTGGTTTGTGTTTCAACAAAGCCTGCCTAAACCAGTCATCTTGTCTGCACCAATGCAAAGGTTTCTGAGAGGACTGTCATATTCTCTATCCCTGTGGATATAAAGACACTGGCATTTCATTTCTTTTTCCCTTTCCTTTTTAAGGGACTAAGCTTTGGAATCTTCCAGAGGAAGTTCGGCCAATGCCAGATCCCCAGGAGTTTGGGGTTTTTGTTTGTATTAAACCAAAATTATATCTGATTCCTATTCATGTTAGTGATCATCTACTCACAGAGCTGAACACTTTCTCCCGTAGAGAAGACTAAGCATGCTTCACGGTAAAATCTGTCTTACCTGGTAGAAACCTGAGCCACTGAAAATAAAGAGACAGCTAGAAGCAGAGTAGAGTCTCAGACTAAGGTCTATGTTTGAGAGGCTTTGAAAGTAATCCCTGGGGTTTGGGTTATTTTCACAAGGGTTATGACTTTTTATTCAAGTTTGTTGCTCCATTTTGCGCTTCTGCAATAAAAGCAAAATGACAACCAGTACATAGGGGGTTAGCTTGACAAAGTAGACTTCCTTGTGTTCATTTTTTAAGTTTTTTTCCTATTATCTGTCTACAGGAAGATACAGATGTTTGAAAATGTGCTTGCCTGTAAAATTTGCTTTTATAAATGTGTTGCCGATGGATCACTTGGGCCTGTACTCATACAATTAGCGTGACCACTTCCATCGTAAAAAAAACTTAAAAATTTATTTTATATATATATATATATATATATATATATAAACGACTGTGGGTTGTATACAAACTATTGCAAACACTTGTGCAAATCTGTCTTGATATAAAGGAAAAGCAAAACCTGTATAACATTACTACTTGAATGCCTCTGTGACTGATTTTTTTTCATTTTAAATATAAACTTTTTTGTGAAAAGTATGCTCAATGTTTTTTTTCCCTTTCCCCATTCCCTTGTAAATACCTTTTGTTCTATGTGACTTGGTTTGGAAATAGTTAACTGGTACTGTAATTTGCATTAAATAAAAAGTAGGCTAGCCTGGAAATGAAATTAAAATTCATAAGTGTGTGGTCTTTATTTCAGTACCCAACCCTCTTTTCTTCACCCTATTTTGCCACTATGGTATATAGTCACATCAGCATCTCTGTTCCTCCAACTAGGGAAAAATGGATCTTTGTTACAAAAATCAAGATATGAACACGAGTTCTTGTTCTTTCAAATGCCCTTACTCCATTGTATCACCCGAAGAGGTGCAGCTTCCATCTTGGAAACCTTTGGGTTGGATGTAAAGGAAGCTTTGCAGACACTGCTTTGAAAAAACGTCCTTGGAAGAGACAAATTTTTTTAATGTGTATAAGCTGCTGTCTTTGATTACTGTGTTCATGGTTTGGTGTAGCTGTATTTTCTTTCAACTTTCATCCTATTATTAATGGTCTTTCGGAGTATCTGTAAAATAAATGAACACCACAAATAATGGGCCTGTACCTCCCAGGTAACCAACACATGTTGTGTTTTCAATCTGCTCATTTCCAATACTGGATGTATGTAAACATGTTATGTCTCCTAGTGCAAAAAGAAACATATTTTTAGGTCTGGCTCCCTCTGTCACGCCTAAACTAAAGGCTAGATATAAAGTCATGTGACTGCTGCTTCAATAAAAACAAATTTATATTGGATAAAGCCTGGTGATCTACTTATTTATTGTGGTAGTCAGTTGGCTAGTATTTGTAAAATAGGTAAACATGTTTACCAGGGTGGGGAGAAGAGGGAGGTCAGTGCAAGTAGACCAGGTGTCACTGGTGGGATGGGCCTCCTGATGGCATTGAAGTGCATTTGTTCACGATTCTCTGCTATCTTCTGTCCTACCCTATTTGAATTGGGATTGAGCAAGATTTCCTTTTAACTTAAAATCCCCAAAGACTACATTTTTAATTTCTATGGTCTTCCAAAAAGTACTGACCCACCAGTCCTTTGCAATCACATTTCAGGAGAGCAGTGATAGTGGGTGCCATTATAGAAGGTGTCCCAAAGCCGTAATCAGTGAGTCAAGGAGGGAATCAAATTGTGACACCCTTCATGGAAAAGTTTTCAAAGGAGGTGAACAAAAGCTGCAGCGTGGTCACCCATTTCCCAGGGATCAGAGTATTTCAACTGCCCCCTAGCACCCCTGGGTTTAGGAGAGCTGGGGGTATGTTAAGGGAAAGGACTCAGGAAAAAACTGCCGCTGCTGTGAAAGGCAGCACGATGAGGCCCACGAGTTGTGAGAGGCTGGGAAGGGATGTCCAATCAAATGGAGGCTTTTCTTCACATCTCCTTTTCTGCAGAAAGAGAGGCCACCCTGAGCCTTCCCACAAGGCGACTGGTTGATGTCAAGGCTTTACACTCTGAGCCAGGTAGAGACTGACTGCTGAGTGGCTTAATGGGGGAGCCAGAATAAGCAGTAACTTACCAGAAGGGCTTTTCTTCTGAGCATTGGAAACTGAGTCACCTGACTGAGGCAAGACCTAGAAGAATGGTGGCCACAGAGATAACTAGAAACTGACACTGTTTTACATGCTCCAAGCTCTGGAAAAGGAGAAATGGGGCAATCCAGATGTTTGAGTACAGAAAGTTGCATCTGGCTCTTAGTTCTATAAACTTGACACCACAAAGCTGCTGAAAGGAAGTATCCTGTGGAAGCTCTCTGGTGCATCTAACCTTGAATCTTAACTACACTTAGTTTTTATAATATATATAAATTATATGTATATATTAATTCAATGTTGGGGAACTACCCAGGTATTTTTTAAATCAATCCTGGGAGATGGGAGTTTACATCCCAGCTTCATCTCACCCGTGTAGCTTACATTTAACAACCATTTCAGGCTCTTGAATTGACTAGCATGCTCAAAATTATTTCAGTGGGCAAGAGAAGACTCCTATGACTTCTGCATGCACTTGAATGAAATTTTTATTTCCAAATGAGTATAATTAGACAAAATTCCTGGGAGCAGAAGCTCTATTTGTTGTGTTCGAGAAAGCAGTTCCCTTTCCCCTCAATTTTCTAAAAATGAATACATTCTTGTAGTTCCTTGATGCAGAAGATGAAGTAAATCTGGGGGGATGGCAGGGAATATGCTTGCTTGCTTTGATTTATAATATCAATGAGTTCTTCTGTTTTAAAAGTTTGGCCTGCTTCTTATAAAATGGTAAAAGCTAAATGAGTATCTGTTCCTTAAAATTTAGTTGACCTCATTTTTTTTATTAAGGTATGATTGATATACACTCATGAAAGTTTCACATGAAAAAACAATGTGGTTACTACATTTACCCATATTATCAAGTCCCCACCCATACCCCAACGCAGTATTCCATTGTCTATATGTACCACCTCTTCTTTATCCATTCATGCTCTGATGGACACTTAGATTGCTTCCATTTCTTGGCTATTGTAAAAAGTGCTGTGATAAACATAGGGGTGCATGTCTTTATGAATCTGAGAAGTTGTATTCTTTGGGTAAATTCCAAGGAGTGGATTCTCAGGTCAAATGCTTTTCTATTTTTAGTTTTTTGAGGAACCTCCATATCGCTTTCCACAATGGTTGAACCAGCTTACATTCCCACCAGCAGTGTAGGAGGGTTCCCTTTCTCCACATCCTCACCAGCATTTGTTGTTCTTAGTCTTTTCTATGCTGGCCATCCTTACTGGTATGAGGTGATATCTCACTGTAGTTTTAATTTGCATTCCCCTGATGATTAGTGATGTGGAGCATCTTTTCATGTGTCTGTTGACCATCTGAATTTCTTCTTTGGAGAACTGTCTCTTCATATCCTCTGCCCATTTTTTAATCGGGTTATTTGCTTTTTGGGTGTTGAGGAGTGTAAGTTATTTATATATTTTGGATGTTAACCTCTTGTAGCTGACCTCATTTTTGCATTAAGTTTTTAGATGTTTAAGATTANATATATCTTAAATTTTTATATGAAATAATCATTTTATGAGAGGACCAAATTTAATATATTTTTATGTTCACTCCAACAGTCTTCAGATGTGTAAAGGGCAATAGTAAAATAAGTAGTAAAAAAATAGAAATAGAGTTATCTATATTAATCCATAATATTTCTATTTCCCCACCCCCACATTTCCCTTTTTACCAGAAAAGAGGGCAACAAAAAGTTGAAATCTCTAGCCAAAGTTAATTATTAAGTCCTCTTGCCTTGATTTGACATTAAACTCAGGAACACATTTGTTAAGCCTAGTTGTTCAGTGTGAAATGCCTTATGTAAAATTAGTTAAAATGTAATTGCAAAGAACTTTTACTTGGAATGACTATAAACAAAGCAGACACTCATATTCTTCAGCTTTGAAAATGGATGTGTAAATGGTAATACACGGCAAATGTTCACCTAGCATGTTTATTAACCGCCGTCACAGAGACCACCCTGGTGTTCCAGCCTAAGGAACACACCCAAGCCCCAGTTCGGATGTGGAAGCAGACACGCACTAAGTCACACACGTGTGCTCCTAGCCCATTAGTGCCCTTCCTGCCATGAGCACACGTTCCAGGGATCCCTCATTTGTGTCCCCAGGAGCATGCAGACCCCACATAGCTCAGCATCCACACAAGGACATTCCTTGTGTTTCTTACCACCTCTCCTTTTGTGACCAAAGCTTTTTGTATTTCCGCTTTGTTTTCTTTAAACTATAAACTCCCTGAGGTCAGGATCCCTGTCTGAGTCAGCACTGTATACCCCAGAACAGGTTGCATACTGTTGCTGCTTGATAATGTGTTTGAATGGACACAGAGACACAAAATGAGGATCACAAAAAGAGGGAAGAATAACACATGGAAGGTCACGACAAACACCTGATACTTGGTGCAGGCCTCTGGCTTCTCTGCAGAATACCCCAGCAGACACTAGTGCACCTGCTGACGGGCACAGGCCTGAAACTCACCTCACATCTCAGGACGGAGCCTCAGGGTCAGCAATGAGTTGGAACTGGGAGGCAGGTACTTGAGGTGGCAACGAAATACCCAAGAAGCCAATGGATTTGGCCCAGCCCCCGTCGCACTTTTCCATCTCCCACATGCTCAGTCCCCAGGCCGCGGGGCCTTTTCTAAGGGGAGGATGGCCCTGCCTCTTGATGGGCCTGACCTAGAGGCCAGCGCACGCTCCCTAGAAGGCTCTCTGGCTTCCCTCTCCACAGACGGAGCCGAGGGCTGGGAGACCCATGTCCCACCCTGAGCAGCGCGAGCCAGCATAGTCAGAGCTGTCGTCGTGAGTTCCCTGGGGGACAGGACCCGCAGGGCACGCGCAGCTCTCAGCGGTACCCATCTGTCTAGTCCCGGGGGCGGCGGCTCCGAAGGCTCTGGTTCTGGCTGCCCAGGGAGACCTGCTCAAGGGGCAGCTGCTCAGCCATCTGTGAGGTTGAACAACTCCCGCATGAGCGGGGTGGCAAAGGGGTGTATATCTTGGATGTGCAGCAGCCGCTGGGTGTGCTGAGCGTTGATGCTGCGAAGCTCTGTGAGCATAGCCATGATCTTCAGGAACAGGAACCTGCAGGCCAACCAGAGGAAAGTTTGGGGTGTGGGCTGACCTTTGCCCAAGTTTGGGAGTGTCAATCTCAGGACAGCTCAGCTCAACCAAGAGACAAAGTTTGGTTAAATCCCTTAAGGTTCTCTTTTAGCCTGCGGCCGAGAAGGGCAGAACAGCTGGGGGACTGCAGGTGTGGAGCTGTGCTCCCAGCTCGTGCCTTGTGCCTTGGCCTTGAGTCCTTGCACACAGAAGCCCAGGCATTGCAGCGGCCAAGTGTCCCCACGCACTCGGGGGAAATCCGCACCCTGGGGGTCAGACTGAGTCGTTGTGGAGGCAAGGCCTGCGGGCTGCAATCCCCTCCTGGAACTACATGGGATATAGTGTCTGAGACACACCTGGTGCCTCAGTTTCCCCATAATGCCTCCTGGCTCTGAACAATTTTAAGACACAGCCACCCCCAGCACCCCAGGATGTCAAGCTCAATAGAAAGCTGGAGCTGTGGCTGAGTGAAGACTTGAGGTTTTAAGTACTCTCTAGCATGCCCATTACTCGCCTTCATCCCTCCTGGCTGGGCCTGTGAGCACCAGGTCACAGCGGTGGGGGAGGCCCAGGGAAGGGGTGGAAGCCCCTGTCTGGCCAAGCTACGAGCAGCCTCCCTCCCTTCAGTCATGACCAGGACCAACTAAGGAGTTTTCTCTCCCATTTGCTTGTGTTTGTCCTGGGAGGTGATCAGGCAGTGCTCACAAGTGTGGGCTCTGGGCCTGGCCCGCCCGGGTGTACCACCAGATCCCCCCGTGTGGCTGTGGAGCCTGGGCAGTGGTCCTGAGCCTCCAGCATCTTGCAGGAGGGCTCATGGGGCTGTTTTCAAGATTAAAGATACCCCTTAACTGCCTAGCGCCAGGGCTGGCCCTTCTCAGTAAGAGTAGCTATTACCGATTTCCTTATTGCTATCATCATTATTATTATCTTTATTATCACACTGTTTGCTGCTGACCATTGCTAGAAGCCCCTACACCCTGATGACAGGAGTGTGGAAGGCCCTGAGCCTCAAGGAGCAGTGTGTAGTCAGCTGGCCACGGCCTCTGGGCCCCTCAGGTATCACCAAAGCTGGGCTCAGGCTGACTTGGCAGGAGGCCTCAGAGCAGGGCCCCAAGTCCTGGCAGCCAGAGACTGCCCCCCAGCCAGGAGCAGCTCCAGTCTGCTCTCCCAGAGAGGCCCAGAACAGGCCCTCACACCCTCCCTGCTTGCTGCTTACCGGTGGGCAGGCTGGGGCCGGTTGCATTCAATGTAGGCCTTCAGGGCCACGGCGAATCGCTCCTGCAGCTGGTCCACCGCGCTGCGCTGCACCACACCTGGGCGGTCTGGCGGGGAGGGGAGGGCAGTGTGGGGCCAGCAGGGTTATGGGGGCAAAGACAAGCTCAGTCCAGCCCAGAGAGAGTGAATGGCCAGCCAACCACCTTCCAGTGCCAGAGACACCCAGTCAGGGCCATGAGGGGGGCACCAGGAGGGCTCTGCAGCACTCCTGCCCTGACCACCACCAACCCAAGGAGAGACCAGCTGAGGCCCCTCCACCCCCTTGCTGGCTGTGCAGTGAGTGGAGGCAGGGCCATCAGTGGGACCTTCCCTGGGGAGGGGAGAGGCTGCTGCCTCCAGCTGCTAATACTGAGGGGGGTGAGCAGGGCGTGGGGGGCAGGCAGCCTCACCTGGGGAGAACAGGGAGATGGCCTGCATCAGCACGTACTCCTCCTTGTGCAGCTGCAGCTTCTTCAGCATGTAGTGAAATTTCAGCACGGGCTCTAGTAGAAGCTGCTGGAAGCCCCCTGTGGTTGGGTGTAGGATGCAGAGGGAAACTAACTTGTCAGAACTTGACCCAGGACTCATCTCCCCTCACCAAGGCCTCTGCTCCCGTCACCTGGCCTTCAGCCCCACCATCCCTGAGGCTCGTCCTGGTGTGGCTCCTCTCCTCCCCCATGGCATGCTGCCCTCCCTCTGCCAGGGCACCTGCAGGGTCTTCCAGGCAGTAGGACAGCCGACCACATTCCCAGGTCCCAGTCTCCGCATTGAACACCGTGTTGAATCTCAGTTGACACAGCTCAAAGCTGGCCCCCTTCAGCAGGGAGATCTGGTCCTCAATGGGCAAGTCCCTGGCAACAAGGATGGGGAGGGAATGCCAGCTTCTCCAGAAGCCGCTGCAGGCCAGCACCCAGCCCATTATCCAGGTATCAGGCAGGATGGGCTCCAGGCCCTGAGGATTATTCTGCTTGCTCTCGCATTGCCCCTAATATGCCCTCTCTCAAACCACCGAGCAGATTTCTCCTCCCTGACAGCTCCCTCAGGGCTCCTGCTACCATCAGGGGCTCCCCTGCAGGCTGGCCCTGTCTCCTCTGGCTCCCCACACAGCCACTGACCCACAGCTGGTGCCTCAGCCCATGGCCCTGGCCTCACACATTCTGCCTCAGTTTCTCCACTTGGAACGATTGCCGCTTTAGCTTCACAAGTAAATCCTACTAGTCCTCAGGCCAAGCAGTCTTTGCACCTTCTAGAAGTGTTTCCAGAGTGCGGAGCTCTTCCTCAGGTGCCACTTCTCCGGTGTGAGTTCCATGCAGTGGGGATATCCCCTTCCCACTGTCTATTTTGGATTTAATATTTCCACTCTCTCTCTCCAGGCAGCCTGGGTACCTTGAGCCCCACTCCCAGCACCCAGCACAGACCTAGCCACAGTGGCTGCCTCTGCTGTTCACGGTTAGATTGATAGCCCTCACTGCCTGAGAGGTCCCCAGGTCCCTGCCAAGGAGGCATTCCCGCTAGAAGCCCAGGAGGGAGGGCGTTCTGGTGGCCCTCGAAAGGGCCTCTGCCTAGCTGTGATCTTGGGAATTCGGTCCCTTGTTTTCCACACCCCACCCTTCTTTTAGATCCTTAATGCTGAGCTGCAAGTTGGCTTTATTCCTCTCCCAGTGCCTGGCTTAGGATCTGGCAGGTAGGTGCTCTGAATGAACTCTGTACTCTGTGCTTCCAGATCTGGCCTCACTGGTTAACTATGACCCTTTGCAAGGTCATCAACCTCAGTGAACCTCAATGTTGCATCTTGGGAATGACGCTGATAACAATACTTGCCTCCTGAGGTGGTTGTGCTCAAAACTGTGGCCATGAGAAACAAAGAGTACCCGCCCACTCCAGTGGGTCACTGACTATCAGTAGGGATCTGCCAACGTCCACATGTATATGCAGGCCTCCCTCCCAGCTGCCTTTCCCATGATCTGGCCCCCCTCCCCACTTAGAGAAGCCCTAGGTGTCACTCGAAGGGGAACCCATGGGCCCCTGGAACGTACCCTGCCCTCCTGCTAGTGAAAGCAGGGGCCACTCGGGTGTGTGATTCAGCTCCTGACCCGGCCCCAGGGGGCCAACCCCAGGGAAGGTTTGCCGAGCGCCTTCTCCTGACAGACTGTGTGTTAGGGGGCCACGGCCGCCACACCAGGAGGGCTGGGGTTTCTCCCCACCCCCAGTGCCCCTGACTGTTGTGGCTGAGCCTGGCTCTGGGAGTCCCGGCCCTATGGGGCCTGCGACCACCCACCCTCCTCAGGCCTCTCGACCTCCTGGCAGCAGGTTGCTGGACGCCCAGGTCTGTTCCTGTCTCCACTCCTCCCTCTGGACTGCCTTCCCTTGCCTTCCAACTCCCTCTTTGCTCTGGAAATGCCAACTTGAGATTCCTGCCCTTTGGGGCAGAAATAGGGGAGGAAATTACTCTGAATGTCTACCATGTGTGTGCCAGTTGCTCTCCAGATAGCCCTGCAAGGTAGGCATTAGCTCCCTGGTAGCGGAGGAGGAGGCTGAGACAGGTGAACGGCTCACAAAGCTCATGAGCCATACAGCAAGCGCGCCACTCCCCAGTAACACCAGGTGCCCTGGGGGCAGAGATAAAGGAGGACCTTTTGGCACCAGCATCCCTCGAATTCATAGGGATCTACCCCAGGCCCTGGCCATTGGCAGCTCCTTTCCACGCCTATGCACCCAGTGCTTGTGTCCTACCTGAAGTGGGAGATGACTTTGGCAAAGTTGATGATGCCTTTGAACATGTAGGTTGACATGTCAGCCATGTGGGGCAGCAAGGAAAAGATCTCTTTCCCGCCGCTGTCAGCTGGGGGTGTGTAGTTCCAGACACTGCCGTCGTCTCCCCGCAGCTGCAGAGAGAGCTTCACCGAACACAAACCTTCCCGGATGCGGGTCCACTTGGCAGCTTCTTCCCCGGATGGAGTCTGCAGAGACTCTGGAATCCTGCAGCCACTGCTAAGCACCTCGGGCAGCTGGGCCAGGAACCGGGAGGTGGAGAGAGGAGAGGAGCTAGTGTCCTCCCAAACAGGTCCCCATACATGCCCCAGAGCACATGTCCAGCCACAGCCGGAGAGGACACCGTCGCAGGCACACACACCACACACACGCATGCAGCATGTGTGTTTCTTCTCTCTTCTCCTATCAGATGGTGCACTTGCTGGATCTGTGAGTTAATGGCCGCTCATGTCCCTGCCTGCTCAGACACAGGTTTGCTCCCTGCCGCAGTGTGCGTGTCCCAGGCATCCCCGACCTTGCCCTCAGGAAACTCAGAACGAAGGGTCTGGGAGCTACAGGTGGGAAGCACAGACTTCTGAGGCTGCTGGTAACCAACTCTCTGAGCTGAGCAGGCCGCTGAGATCCCTGTGAGCGCCGCAGAGAAGGGCACTGGATTGGATGTGGCTAAGGCCGCTGAGATCACTAACGTCTCTGGGATCAGATAAACCAGTTCACAAACATCAGACCCCAACAGATTCTGACCCTGCCCTTATAAAGCTCTAAGTGCCAGCAATGTTGAGGCAACTCAGCTTCCAAAACTCCATTTCTGGCTCAGGACCAGTTCCTACATGTTGTGGAAGGAGAGAGAAGAGACCCTCAAGCTGGAGTGCGGCTCAGAGCCCCCTGGGGGTCTCCTCAACACCCAGACCGTGGGGCCCCACCCTCAGAGTATTTCATTCAGGGGGTCTGGGGGGACCTGAGCATTTGCATTTCTAACAAGTTCCCAGGCGACGCTGCAGCAGCCAGGCCAGGGCCCACGCTCTGAGAACCAAGGGAATGAGAGGCCAGGTTTCGGCGCTGGGGTGGCTGCCCAACCGACCCTAAAGCCTCATACCCGGAAATCCTTGAAATGGGCGAAGGTGGTGTCAAAGGTTTTCATCTGCGCAGCCATCAGCTCCTTGATCATCGCCTGCTGCTCCTCAGTCAGACCCCTGGCTCCCGGGGGCCGAGTCCCGATCCGTTCTCCCCTCCTCCTCCTGATCAGGGCGCGCCTCTGTTCCACGGCCGCGTCGGACATGATCACTGCGGGGACAGCGGGAGTGGCTCAGGCCCCTCACCTCTCAAGCAGCCATAGTGTGGGGGCTGGTGGCGAGAAACCCCCAGCTCCCAGGTCACCCAGGGGAGGATGGAGGGTGTGTGCTGCCTGAGGCAGTGGGGTTCGCAACAACTTTCTGAAGCTTCTGGAGCCGCTGCAAGAGCTCTCTGGCTTCAGAATCAAAAGGTGCTGCGTTTGAGTGACAGCTTTGCAGCTTACTAGCAGTGACCCTGAGCAAGCCCCTTAGCCTCCCTAGCCCTCAGTTTCCTTCTTCATATTCTGCAGTGACAGAGCTCACCTGCCACCTGTAACTCTGCTGTTTCAATGAGGCATTGCACAGGGAGTGCCTAACAGCTCCTGGCCAGCAACAATGTCCCCAAACTGGCACCTGGTAGTGTTCTTCTCTGGTGGATTAGATACCGACAAGACTCCTGAGACACCCAAGGTCTCTGGGTCTCCAAGACCCTGGAGAGCTGGGGCTGCTGCTCAGCAAGAAATATTAACTCCAGCCACTTCCTATGTAGTCTGGAGCCTTAGGGCCTCCCAGGGATTTCTAGGGCCCATGTGCCTGTGCAGAGCAGAGCTCTGGGGGTCCTTGGTGGGAGAAAGCAGGGGCAATGGACCAGGAACTCGCTCTCAGCTGGTCTGCAGGGAAGGCTCTCTCTGCCTACATGCCCAGAGAACTTATCCCCTGAAAGAGGCTGCCCATTCTTCGATGACTGATGGAGACAGATATGCACTGGAAACTTCCAGCCTTTTCCCCCATCAGCTTTAACCTCAAAGTGACCTGGGAGCATGGTGATACCAAAGCTCCACAGGTAGAGCGAGAGCGGCCTGTGTCACCGGTCTGCAAACAGCTCCTCTGCAGGATGTCAGGTCTGAGGCAGCTGGTGGATGGTAAGATTCTGGAAGGTTGGGGGTTATATCACACCATGTGTCTCACTTCCATTTCCCAAATTCACTTCCTCCATTCAGCTAAAACACCATAAGGACAATTATGAAGGGGACAAAAAGAATCATGCAAGGGCACCCGAGGGGAGAGAGGGCATGATCCTGGCCAGGGCTCACCACACTTCCCAGAGCCGAGCAAAGATGCTCCACATCTGTCAGGTCCCTCAGGACGGGCCATGGGGTGCAGGAAGAGGGGCTGTAAGCTCCTCTCCACGAGCCTGCCTGTTGCACACAGGCCATGAGCCAACATGTGACCTGTGCAAAGGTGCTCATACACACCCCACACCATCCTCCTGGCAGGCATGCATGCACCAGCCCACAGGCCCCGCCGCCAGCAGCCCCGCCACTCACTCTCCTTCCTCATGCCGCTTTCCAGGCACTTGCGCAGGCGGCAGGCCTGGCACTGCCGCCGCGTCTTCCGGGTGATCTCGCAGGTGCCCTTCCGGAAGGGGCACCTCAGCCGGGCATTGCGTTTCATGGCCCTCCTGTGAGAGAACCGAGACCAAAGGTAGGCTGCCTGGGGGCACACTGTGGCCCCCTATGTCTCCCAACCCCAGGGACACTAGTCACACCCTCTGTGGGCCCTGCCTTTGCCTCAGTGTCAGGTCAGGTTCATAGGAAAGGTTCAGCGGGGGTTCGCCAGACTTCCCTAGATGCCCAGGAGCCAGGTGGAAGGGGGCAAGGGGCAACCTTTCCTGCCACATTCACACTTGTGCTTGTGTTTCAAGGGGTGCCAGTGCCCCGAGCCACTTTCTTCAGCTCCAGACCCCAGTTCCTGCCCCCCACCCTGGCCCCACACTCCTGTCCCCTTCCCCTCACCCCCTCCGTGTTACTGGGCACCCCTGGGGAGGACCTGGGGGATATGCTTCTGCGGAGGAGGCTTTTTCCTGGATTTCTCCTCCTGGGAAGAGGGAGCCAGAGGAAACCTGTCCCCAGGGTTATAAGAAACATAAGAAGCCCTTTCTTCCCCAGCCTCCATTCTAGCCTGGGCCTGGGGGCAGCCAGAGGACTGGGTACACTGGTGGGAAGCTTTCTACTTCACCGGACAATGGCCTCTCCATTGGAGAAGTGGATTCTCCTGATTGGCCTGGCAGAGCAGAGGCTCAGCGCCCGGTGAGAGTGGAGTGTGCAGGCCCTGCACCCACATGGCCTTGCCCAGCTGTGCCTCCAAGGGGGACAATGGGGTACAGGCCTTTTAGGGACCCCAGCCCAGCCACCCTCTCCCCACAGCCCAGGTGTCCCAAACTTGCCACAGAAGACCCAGGATAAGGACCCTGACTTTATCCCTCCCCCCGCGACTTCTCACAGCTGAACAGGAGACAAATTCTTCCATGGCTGGGCCTCTGGCTCTGGCCCAGCAGTGTGGAAAATGAGGGAAAGTGGGGGAGCATAGGGATGGACAGGTGGGGCCACAGGCTGGGCCTGGGGGCTGAATGGAAGCTGAGCTCCAAGCAGGTCTGGGCTCAGAAGCTTGAGGTCTCAGGCCAGTGATCCGCCCAGGGGGAGTGTTCTTCACCCGCATGGCCCTTCCCCGTTTACCTTCCCTGCTGGTCTGGTCCTACCCAAAATGGGAAGAGGGGGACGGAGCTCACAGTCATCAATGGTATGAGATGGCTCAGGCGCAGAGCTTTGCAAATTCAGTTCTCACAATCCTATGAAAGTCACTGCACCATCTGCCTGGCACAGATGAGGAAACCAAGTCTTTGAGAACATAGGTCACTACCTGTCCTCCAGGTAAATGAGAAGCTGAGACTTGAATCCAGGTCTGCCCGACACCAGAATGCAAGTTCCAACCACTGCAATAGGCCGCCTTCTGCCAGGAGTCCTGGGACAAAGCCCTAGAGGAGGAGGGAGCGCAGAGGAGCCTGCACCCCGTGGCAGTCCGCACTGACTCCAGATCTGGCTCAGAAGTCCGCCACGGGTGGCCACATTGCCGTATGCCCAGCTCAGGGATCTATCTCTGTGCTCCTTGCTAGTGACCAGTTCAGGAGGCAGCTGAGGCCTGGTTCTAGCCAATGTGAGATGAGGGGTCTTCTGGGAAAGGTTTCCTTGTTCTTAGAGAGGAAGCGACGGGCCTTTCTGTTCCCTGGCTGAGCACGGTGGTTCCTGCCTGTGGCCCCCAGCACCGTGCAGCCCCAAGGGGCGCAGGCTGAGCTCAGGGCATCATACAGATGGCACAAGAGAAAAATGGACACAGCTGAGCTGCTGAGCTCACCCTCCCCAAGACTGCAGACTTCTAGTTATGAGAGGTACTGTGTTCCCTGGTGCAGTACCCTGCTGCGCCTCTGTCTCTTGCAGCTGAACGCAGCCTGCCAAGGCCGCTGTATGTTAGCCTTGTCACAATCCCCACGACATGGGCATTCACTTCTCACGGGAATGCAGGCACCTTTGGACCTGCTCTAGGCCCACCTAACCCTGTGGGACCTCGAGCTGGGTCCACATCAGCCTCGAACCTTGGGTTTCCTCACTCGTGGGGGACACTTTGCTGCTACAGTGCCTCCTTGGGGTCCTCCTGTGGGCCCCCCACCCATGACATGCTGACCAGCAGCCCATCTTTGGGACCGCAGGGAGGGCCCTGGCTCTGGGGTTCATTTCTGTCCGCATGTTCAGCCACCAGGAAGAGCTCTGCAGGGGGCGACGTCATGCTGGCTGTGCCAAGGGTGCCTGAGGGTCCCAAGTGTGGCCCTGGGGGTGGGAGCTGCTTCCTCATCCAGCCCTTCACACAGGCGGACTGAGAGCTGTCGCTCACACACACCTTTCTCTGCTCCCTTCTCTTTCTGGAAAGATCCCATTGAGCATTTTCTCTTTCTCATCAGAACAACAGTAGCCCTTCTACTGGGCCTGTCCTGCTGTTGAGCTGGCACCTTTTCAGTGTTTAGTTTTTTGGGCCTTGTGTCTGCCTGCTTCTAGGTGAGCTTGTTTTGTCATATTCTATATGTATTCTATGCCATTCTTTACTTAACCACCACTCCCCAAGACTGATTTGGACACTTGCATTTTGGATTTTCAAATTTCTTTGCTCTCTTATGGACTGATTTTCTATTTTATTCAAGAACACATGGAGAAACAAACGAGGACCTTATAGGAACGGGGCTTTTTCCAGGTAGGGCAGGAAGATAGAAGATGAGGGAATCCTCTGAGATATAAATGGCCCTCCTGAGATGAATCAGGATGGGCCACAGGCCCATGCGGAACCTGGGAGACAGGCGGAGCTAAGGCCCTGTGAGTGTCCCCAGGGACTAATGGTGGAACCCCAGTTAGATGAGATCCCACATGTCTGAAGTGGCAGATGGGGAAAACTGACAGGTGACTCTACCTGAAAAAGCCCTTGCATCCTTCACAGGTCATGACATTGAAGTGATAACCAGTGGCCTTGTCCCCACAGACTCGGCAGGCCTGGGTACCATCTCCCTCATCTGCGCTGGTGGCGGGCTTTCCGGCAGTGGAGTCTGCTTCTTCACAGAGCAGAAGGTCAGCATGGTGCCAGCTGTGCTCAGCTCTCACCTCCAGGTTTGCTTCTGGTCCTCTAGGACTAGAAGAGAAAAAAACTGCAGAGAATGAAAGAGCTGGACAGGGAGGTGCTGAGGCTGTCCCCGCTGTGCGCCACTCCCATGCGGCTCTGTGGACCCAAGAGCTGACCTTTGGTGGGAGAAACGTGGGTTAGATTGGAGTTGTTATAGTGATGTAACCAGGATGTTGTATACATAATAACAGGGCCCTGGAGTAAAGCATGTGAACAAGAACAAGGGAGAGAGAAGGGTCGGAGGAAGAAAAGAGAAGGATCCAGAAAAGACTCCCTGGGTTGGATCACAAAAGT